GATTGCCATTGGAACACATTTAAAGCCAAGCCCCACACATGCCATGTTGATTTCCCATGCCTTTTCCCAACTCCATGAATCGCTCTTGAGTCTCCAAACCCTAACATTATAGCTTCTGACCTTGTCTATCAATCCAGCTTCAATAAGCACAAAATATCCTTGCGAGGTGGTGCAGATTATCTTATTGCATGGAGAGGCGTAACCATGTCTTATACAGCTTCCACGGTCATCTCGATGCCACCGACTGCCTAGCATCCTGGCGGGTATACATATTTCCCGCACTTGATCATCATGAGAGAAGAAATCATGAACAATAATACGACGGGACTCATGGAACCAGTGAAGTTTCCCATTCAAAGAAACGGGATTAGATGTCAGTTGTGACACACCCTGACCAGGACAAGAGACGTGTTGAACACTCCATTTTCCCGTATCCGACGAATAAATCTGAAATGTCCAGGTTCTAGAAACAGCCAGGTGTCGTGCTTCGCTATATACTCGAATCACCTTGTAACCCAAGAGGGCACCATTGTGCATTCGTGTGACAAGTCCCAAATCAATGAAATGATAATGGTATTGAGGAAGATAAGGAGGAGAAGATAGTTGAACCCATTGTGTTAACACAGGATTACCAATGTAGTAACGTTTCGTCATGTCCTCCTCGAACAGACATATCAAAACCAGCCCATCAGCGCAAGCGACAACCCAAATCTCTTTGACTTTATTGTTGTTTTGAGTATACTTGTGGATCAGTCCACTTGGAAAAGACCAATATTTAGAATTACCATGGCATGACTCACTTGGTAGATTGAGTTCTAATTCCTCCAAACAAGAATTTATACATCTATAACTTCCGTGAAGGATCGACCAATTGGAGTTACTTTGGTAGAGATCACGGAAAAATTCAGACTCCATAAGTGATTTCCATTCTTTACACACCAGCTTGAATCTAACAATACTTTGTAGTGGTAATCTTGCGATTATGTTTATCACTATTCCTTCTGGAAGATACACATCTCTTTCCTCCATCCTAATCTCTATATCATGTTTGCTCATTTTTTGAGATTTTTTTCTTTGTGTCTCGCTTGGTACAAAACCTGACCTTATACGTTTAGGGTTTTGACTTTAAGTTTTTTTTTTTTTATATAAATAAAAACAATGCAGTCTCCTTTACTTATAACAATAAAATATTTGTATATTCGACCATTCAAAAACTTTATCAGGTTCACATTTTATAAAAGTGATTCTACAATATACTAATCATGTGTATATAACTAGAAAAATAAACGTATAATTATTCTATGAAAATTCTATACAAACAATTATTCAGTAATTCCATTATTCCAGTGTTTATTATCTGACATACAAATTACATAGAGTCATACCTCATGCTGATTAATGTGGGCAAGTGCTTATTATCGTATGAGTCGTTAAAACGCATCGACTGTGACTGCCGGAATTTGTGGAAGCGGGAGTTATTACTGGTTAACCAGTAAATGCAACATCGGTTAAATCAAAACTGATCAAAACAAATATCATATACTAGATATTAACCCGTGGTACACCACGGGTCTATATTTTTATTAAATAAAAAAATAATTTTTTTTAGGATGATCAATAGATTTATACTATTGTTTCTTTTATTTAATTAAATGTATGATACCCGTGGGACGATATGTTATAACTTGCTGCAGAAATTATGATACTATACACTTGCGAGATACGCAATTAATGGCAAAAAAATGTAAGAAAGATTTGAAATGTAAAATGGTACCAATTCATATGTGTAAGATACTACGTGTTGATTCAAACGTCATGGTGAGTTCATAATAACACTAAGGTCAAGAATCGCGTCAATTTTTCTGAATACGATTTTTTTTTTTTCCCTTTCGTTTGAAAGATGGAACGTGAGGATTCATATTCAGAACTTATTCACTCAAAAATACTGGTATTAGAGAAAGTTTAATGTTTACTCCATATTAATTTAAGATAGATAATGTTTTGTTTTAAAAAGAATATCATTGTGTTAAATGTAATTTTTGATAAGAAACACCTAATTTGGCCCTAATTCATATCGGTGTTAAAAAGAACCCAATCTTTTTTTTCTAAGAAACACGTTAGGTTTACTTGAATCTATTCAATTGATCATAATTGATAGAAGCACTTACAATAAAAAAAATTCTGACTTAAATATATAAAACTTACATTACACGTAACTCACTCTTTTATGAAAACTAAACCTCTTAAACCGGTTGACGCAAAAAAATGACTTTTTGATATTATTACAAAAGAAAATCAAGAAAATGACTAAACAAAAAGTTACCAAGAAAAAAATTAAAACACAGAAGACACAACCATGACTTGCTAGTTTTTCGTGCATAGCTTCCATTGATCCACATATCGCTTATTGCATGAGCACATTTTCCGATCGAACTCGATTTGATGTATTCGCTACTTCATGGTAATAGAATTAAAAATGACAACAGTCTGATTATAAAGAAATCGTGATACAGCCAAAACCAATTTTTTGGAGGTTTGTTTGCTTTTTTTGTTTTTGGGCAAACGAAGGTTTGTTTGCTAGAAAAAGTAGTTGTTTTGTGTACAAACTCAATCCTGCTCATCGTCAATACCATAAAGGATGAGACCCTTGTAAACCCTGCCACAGGCCATCGAACCGTAAAGTCCACTCCGCTTTCCTATAATTCACTTCGCACTAATTTCAGTCTCCCTAGTTGTAGTCACCACCACATCCAATCGTTACTCCACGATCGACTCCATAGCGACGACCACTGGTTGTGCGATTACTTAGTCCCAAAGATCTCAACTGCTATCAGCTCAGGTTTTGGCTACAACGGCGTTGAATTGAACGTGAGCGTCACAGTTACTTACCAGTACGAACGTGTGGACGAGGCCTCATTAAAGGTAACGAGGATGGTTTTACTAGGGAGGATAAAAGCAGAGGAGTTGAAGAGTGTGAACATGGAAACAGAGTCGTGTTCGATTTGTCTACAGAGTCTTTTCTCCAGTTCGAAAACATCACCCACTCGCATGAGTTGTTCCCATGTCTTCCATAAGGGCTGTCTCGTGGAGTGGCTCTATCGCAAAAACACTTGCCCGATGTGTCGGACTGTGCTCTACGATCGATGATGATTCTTGGAACAGAGGATTGAAATTAGGGTTTTATCTATTTTATTGCATAACTTGGGTCACAAGTACACTCTATTTAAGAAAAGTTTATGTAATTTAGTTATCAAGGTTTCAAATCTAAGTTAGGAAATTTTAATTTTGTGTGTTTTAAGGTTTTAAATGAATTCAATAAGAGGTTTGGAATTTGTAATAGCATCATTACTGCAACTATTGAAGTCTTAACAAATAACTGCTAAGACAGGTTTATCGTGATTACTACGGCCTGGTAAACAACTCCATGCTCCAATCTCCATAAACGGTAGTTTTTGTGTGATTCTCTATCTGCCTCAACGCTTTTGCTAGTCACCAATCAAAGTCAGGAAATATTGACACTTACAGAGAGACATTGAGACCAAAAGGAGCTTCCCACAAAGCTGTATCGTTTCTAAAGTGCTCGAGCATTATACCTTCTTGTAACATATGCTTCTCCTTTTTCATAAGTATGTTCCTTATTCGGACACTCGTTTTTGTAGTGGCCATCTTCCCCACAAATCCAACAAGCCCCTTTCTCTCCTTTGGATTTTGACCTATCTCTACTAACAGACCTGCCTCTCACATGAAGTTCCTCTGCAGTGTCTATATATCCTTTGGAACCAAATTTCAACTCTTTGGATAGTACAGCACAAATAACTTCGTCTAGTGTAAGGCTAGTTCTACCATACGTTAGCACGTCTCTAAGGTCATCAAATCGCTTCGGTAAAGAAATCAACAAACGTATCGCTTGGTCTTCATCAGATATAGAGACCTTAGCATTACTTAGATCATCAACTAGCCTCTCAAACTCATCAATGTTTTCCTCAATAGACTGGCTCTCATTCATCCTAAAACTACATAGCTTATACTGTAGGTAAGTCCTGCTAGTTGAAGATCTAGTAATATAGAGTTTGTCGAGAACCTGAAACATACCCGCGGCTGTGTCCTCCTTATAATTTTCTTTTGCAGATCTTGATTCTCTATGTTCTGAATTATCATGCTCCTTGCTTTTCTCTTCTTCTCTTCTAGACCTGTTTCAACAGATTTGTTCCCATCCTCCTCCTCAATCTTTAAAGCTTCCATCAAATCAAGAATCTCAAAACGAGCAAGAATCCTCGTCTTCCATAAAATGTAATCACCTCTCCCATCAAACTTTTCTACTTCAATCCTTGTTCTTGACCTCTCTCTATACTTTTTATCATATCCTCTATACCTTTCACTTAATTCCATCTCTTTGGACAATGCAGCATCAATGACTTCATTTACTGTCAAGCTTGTTTTACCATACGTAACCGTGTCTCTAACCTCATCAAACTGCTCTGGCAAAGAAACCAACAAAAATATAGCTTGGTCCTCATTAGATATCTCTACTTTAGCATTACTTAATTCATCAATCAACCTCTGAAACTCATCAACATTCTCCATAACAGACTTTCTTTCATTCATCCTAAAACTATGCAATTTTTCTCTCAAGTAAAACCTCCTTGCTAAAGAAGTAGTCATATAGTATTTGTCTAGAACTTGTAACATACCAGCAGCTGTTTCTTCCTTCATAATCTTTCGTAGAATCTTGTCTCCTACACTGAGAATGATCACGCTTCTGGCCTTTTTGTTCTTCTCTTCAAGAACAGGGCTCAAATTTGCAGACAGTTTCTCATCTTCAGCTATTTTAACATATTTGTTTCCATCTTCTTCCTCAATCTTTAAAGCTTCCATCAAACCAAGAACACCAAGATGAGCACGGATTCTCGTCTTCCATAGAGTGTAATCACCTCTCCTATGGAGCTTTTGTTCTTCGAACATTGCAAAAGACATGTTGAGAGAGTCTTTTTCTAGTTTCTGTCTAACAGTCAATTCGTCGAACACCTTGTGTGCACAGAAAAACTCTAAAAACAAAAGCCCTAAATAGTTTTACAAGGCTCTCTCATGAGCGCGAACGTACACAGGTCTCTTATATATGGAGACTTTAACGGCGTTACAAGGAAACAAACGGAAAAGAGTACGGAAGATTCCTTAAACAGCCAGAGCCGTCTCTGCAAACAAACGACGCCTCTGTTTTCCATTTTCAATGAAATTACAGTAATACCACAGGAAGAGCCAAATTAGTAAACCGGATACATAACCGGAATCGGACCAAGCTTATTTAAGAACATACCATGATTGAAAATCAAACTTCTCCTTCACTTCAGTTTGAAATTTTGATTTATTTACGCTATATAGAACTTTAACATTTACCAAGTTTTAACTACAAAACTCTCAATAACTTGAGATTTGATAAGAGGACACAACAAAATTTGTAACAGTTAGTGCAAAATTATCCGGTGGCTAAAAACTCGCCGGAAGGTTCCAACATTTATTAGTTAACCAGTGGAATACAATGAAAGCTACGAACTTGTTGCTTCCCGAGCCAGAAACCTCGCCGGAAAGTATTCACCTTTATTTTTTTAAACTGCAAAAATAATCTGACAAAAGGAACAAATTTCCATTACTCATTCAATCCTAAACTTTTATCAAGTAAAATCACACAATTTTGTAAAAAGACTTTTTTTTTTTTTTTACCTTATGTAGTTACTACGCTGCAGCAACTCCTGAATGATTCTGTTGAAACCATTCAGCCGGCCACCATGTTGGTCTGATTGCCTCGACTTTCACGTCCCCCGAGTCCTTTACTGTTAATTCAGCTGATGGTTTAAAGGCTTCCTCGACCCTCATTACACCCATTCCCCGGCTACCCAAAGCCGTTGAAACCGTTCCCATTTTCTTGCCCGTTCCTGATTCAACTACTTCAGCTCCAGCCGCGATCTTCTGGTTTACCTCTGCAGTTTATACGGAAATTCTGTTTAAGACCAGAAGTTGGTTTCTTGATCATAAGATGTGAGATATTCGATTTCTTTATACGGAAAATTCAGTTTACCTTTTCCATTGCTATCGATGAATCGTAATGGGATTAAGCGTTTGCGGATGACACCTCGGTGATGGGTACGAGCTATAAGCTCTTGGCCAACATAACAGCCTTTGTCAAAGCTTATCGCTTTAAGACCAACAAAATTATATTCAAGCGGAATTGCTTCACCTGTAAAAACCACAAAAACATATTACAAATACACACAGAAGAAGAGAGATCAAAGAGTTAAAAAGAAAAGAAACAGATAATACCTTTAGGGATTTCAGCTGATCCTTCGGCAACTCCATGCTCTAATCTCCATAAAAGGTAATTGCTTTCATCTGTTTCTTTATCTGCTTCAACTAAAGGAGCTGCAAAACAAACAAAGTAACCCCCCAAATTCGTAAGCTTTCGCTTAAGCTCAAGAACATAAAAGCTTCTATTCGATTAAGAAACTCACGGGTTGCATCGGACGGAAAGATACTCCTATAACCGAGACACTCCAACCTCGGATCCTTATACCATTGCCATCCATACTTATTACCACTAGCTGTAGATTCACCAGCACGATCAACACCACCGCCCCAACCGACAGATGATGATCCAGAAAGATTCCTACCGTATCGCTGCCAACACGAAAACTCCTCTCCAACGTTTTCTATATCCACTTTGGACCTCAACCGATACCTATAAACATTCATATCACACAAATCACAACTAAAACTGGTTCCTTCTTCAACAAATCAATAGAGATGACACATCTAAATCCAACCCTAGGCATTATCTTACAACCATTCACAAGTAAATTAACCCTAATCTCCATTGACATTGCTAAAATTGGGATTCAAAAGACCTAATTCTTCTAAAAATGTGAGAAGAACAAAAAAAAAGCTTACTTTTTGAGAGTTTCAAGCAATTCATCGAGGACATCAACATCAACATCAGCAAACAACTCAACCGACCCATCAAGACCCGAATCCGACCCGGGTCCTGAACCAGTCCGATTAAGCTTTTCCTCGGATTTCGAAGGGCTATACAAGAAAAAATCGTATAGAAACCTTCCTTGAGGAGTTAACAACGCCGCGTACATAGGCGGAGTCGAAACAGAAGCCATGTTCGGCGTAGGAACCGCTGAGTTCTTCTCGCCGGAGGATTCGCCGAATCTTCTTACATCGTTGGTTAACAAACCTTGAAGAAACTTCACCGTATCCGGTCCGCTAAACCGGACAACGGAACGTGATTTAAGCCGAGACGCCATCGGACCGGCATCTTCTAGACCGCTGTGGATTTTCCGGTGATAAATTCCGGTAGATTTGGAGATTTCACGACGGAAATTGAATCGAAACATCTCTTGAGAAGGCTCTGTTAGTAGTATTGTTCTTCGTTCGTTCGTGGTCTGTGGTTAAGCCATTGCATTAGAGAAAGCTCAGGACAAAGCCACGTGATCGAATACGTGGCAGTGGAAATGATCTTTGGTTTGTGACACGTGTAATAAAAGTACGGAAGTTGTGCTATTGCTTAGCAAGTGTTCGATGAAATTACTGAACCAAGCCACAAAAGAGAGATTTTTTCTCAATACAAAAAGTTTTTTAACGATTCGGTCGTTTATTCCCGTTTATTACGACCAGTCACTAATAATCTAAATTTATAACAGAGCATTTTAGTATTTTTCCCAAAGAAATTGGTTTTCTAACTGTGTGCTACATTGTTTGATGTAATCAATCACTGTAAAATATGAATCATATCTCTTCATTAGGACTAACTGTTTTGAGATTAGTATTAGAGATGTTTAATGATAACTCGTAATTTTTTTTTGAGAATTTTTACCACGAAATAAGTTGATCTGAAATTTATCTAACAAGAATTTTTGTTTACCTTTTCTTGTTCGTTAAATTGATCACAATGTTAGAAATAAAATTTGAGAAAAATGGCATGCTTGATTGAACCAGTTAAAACTTAAAAACTCAACAAGATTTATCTCTCATAACGTTTTCTTTAATCATACATATAAAAGTAGGGTTTCACTCTCTCCTTATTGGGCCACTTGACATTTATTTTTATATTTTTTCAAAAATCTATATATATATTAATTTCTAATTATCTCACTTTAAAGCTCATGTGTAACTCCACATTTAAATTCATTTGTAACTCTTCCACTAATATACATTAACTATTTGAAAATTGTATTGACTATAATTTAAACTCTATATTTAAACCTCAATTGTAACTCCTACCAATAAATAATAATTTGTAACTCTTAGTCAATAATTATAAGAGTTTTTCCACTTCTCATCTATAAATATTCATTCTCTTAGTCTTATCATCTTCCTCCATATTTTCAAATCTATAAATTTACTTTATTTTTATGTTCTTGCATGAGTTAAAAACAATTGTGCCATATTGATGGTAAGAGTTTGGTTGTAAAATTTATTTTTAGAGATTCTATGAAGTGTAATTTATATTGTATTCGATTTTTATTTTGTTTATTTTATTTTTAGAAGTTATATGGTACATATGTAGTTTATATTGTATTCAATTTTATTTTGTTTCTACCGTATTACAAGAATGTATTTCTTTCATCTTTAGTTACTATAATATTTATCTGTTTTTCCAATTAATCTATGGAAGTTCAAAAGCTCACTATTTTAATATTCGCACAACAAGTGAATCAAATTGAAATGATCTATCTTCTTTTTCCACAATTGGTATATGATTATTCTCTTTATATACTTATTTAAGAAAAATCATTATTCGATATTTAAAATTTTTTAAGGCATTTCTAAAGTATATGTTCCGACATGTAGTTATATAAATATCATTATAGTATTTTTTAGCGTATTCAAGGTTTATGGTTAAGATTACTTTTTCCACCAAAATTAAACTAATAAAATCAGTTAGATAATCCATAGCAAATGTTTGAATATCATGTTAATAAAAAACATGTGAAAAACAATATATTTAATGAAAAATGTACGATATCTAAATAAGTTATTTTTTTTTAAAATTGAATATATTAGAATTTATAATTAATAAAATATAAGATGGTAGATCTATCTGGAAAATACACTATTCTTTATATATGTTTTCTATAACGATATACAAATAATTTAAAACATTTCGAGTTGTACGTAATAAGTAATGTTAATAAGAATTTGTGTGATAATATTAAAAACATAATTTTCTTTTAGTTTTCATTTTAAATTCTTTTTTATAATAAAAATATAACAAGTCACGCGTAGCGTGGCTACATTCATCGATCTATATTAATAGAAAGGTTTTTGTTTTCGCGAAAGCCCTGGTCCACCACACCATCAAGTGAACTATGGCTTGGGACATCAAAATAAAAGATGCATCCATATTTTAAAACAAAACTATAGGCTTTTTATGTAAAAGTAGATATTATAGATTTTTTTTATAAATATAAATTCATATTTGTTGGACTTTATTTTCACCATACCTCTTGGGCTTTAAGTCTTTAAATTAATAAAACGTTAATTAATTGTCTTGTTAATGAATGTTGTTTAATAAAAATTTTGTTTTTTTAAAAAGTAAAATTCTAAACTCTCTCTCTCCAAAAAATTTCTGAATCTCTCTCAGAATTGGATCTGAACTCCGACGATTTTTTTCTCATCATGTCAAATCCTCCTGAGCCGGAGCCGGTGGTGAATCCGCCGGTGAACTTGCAATACATGGCCATACCGAATTCAAATGCAGGACAACTAAATCATGTGGTAAACACAGTTCGATTTGAAATCTACTTAGATCTATTGCTTTGATATACGCACAAAGATTTGGTTAGCTATCTTCGAATCTATAGAGAGATTAAGTTTAGCTATCTTCGAATCTATGGAGAGATTAGGTTAGCTATCTTCGAAACAATAGATCTCAGATCCAATTTGCTTGGCTATCTTCGAATCTATAGATCTACAATAGGTACGTGCGTGAACTTTGATTACAAAATCAAAAACTTTGCTTTGATTAATCAAATAAATATCTACAGTTGCAGTTTTAAATTATAGATTAGCATTTGTTTCATATATCATAGTTGGTAAAGTCGTAGAGGGCATGCAATTTTTAGAAGAAAAAGTGTAAATAAAATTATATTTAAAGAATATAAGTTTTTTTTTTCTCTTTTTACAAACTTTTTATGAAATTAAAAGCTTTAAAGCGGATCTATAAATTTATACTATGATTTTTTGTACCATTATTATTTGTAGTTTTGCAAAAAAACGTTATAGAGCATAAGTTTTTTTTATTTGCATAGGCATTCAAAATTATCGGACCGGCTCTGTGTGAAATTAGTTCAGAATCATTTCACGCTTATCATCGTCTTCTTCATCATCGCATTAAACAATAATGGCGAACGCAAACGTAATCAATGAAGTGAACATAATGCTTTACGAGATGTTTCTCCTTGAGATTGAAATATATTCGAATTTGTTTTCAGTGCAATTCTCAATTTCAATTTTGCTTGCATTATAGTACAACTCGTTGATTCTCGATTTTTCATTCAATCTTGGGTATTTTTTATACTGTTCGAATCGAAGATCGAGCCTCTTTTCTTGTATATATTGCAATGCTGCTGAAATATAGATGTGAGAGATGAAATAGGTGTACAATTTGTAAGTTGACAGTTATGGTATGTAAATATAACCTAATCTTGGGAGCTTCAAAGCAAAATTGTAATAATATATATGTTATAATGTGAGTTTTTTTTAAAAGGTTAGTTTCTTAATTTCTATTTTTTAGTTGGTTATAAATCCAAATTTCCCTTATATTATTACTTTAACTTATAAGTGCTTTTGTATATAAAGTAAATTACACCTGTACTTGTGGTAGGAGTTTGCAATTGACAAAGAAAGAAAATAAAAAAAATCATATATATGAAAGTTAGCCAACTCTCTCCATATGACTGTCACATCATCACACAAGAATATGACATGTATCATTCAACATTATTTAAATTAAAAATCAATAAAATTAATTTAGGGAAAATCAAAAATCTCATCTTGTGTTAAATTCTCCGTTAAACCCTTTCTTAAATCATTTCTCTGAAATAAAAATAAAATTATAAAGTTATTTTAATAAATCAATTACTACTTTTATTTTACTTTTATTATTTTTTTAATTTTTTAATTTAATAGTCAATGGTCATCACTCGATAATAACTAAATAACTATTTGTATTGTAATTTAGTTGTTTGCTACTAAATAACTATTTGTATTGTAATTTAGTTGTTTGCTACCTAATATCTTATTAGTTTAGTAATTTTACTTTGAATATTGTCTTATTACTCCCTCCGTTTCAGTTTAGTTGTCGTTTTAGGATTTGAATTTTGTTTCATAATAGTTGTCGTTTTAGGTTTTCAATGCAAATGTTTGGTGAAAATTCCAGTTTTATCCCTACTGTTTTAATGTTTTGGCCAATGAAATTTTTTATAAAATATATTAATAAAGGGTAAAACAAAAAATTTAATGCTTTCTTAATTTGTGTGAAAAAACCTTAAACGATAACTAAAACGAAACGGAGGGAGTATTACTTTATGGTTCATATCTTATCATATGACATTCTCTCTTTTCATTTTTGTGTCTTACGGTAAGTTTGTATCATTGACATGCAATTTTTTTTTTCAAGTAATGAGCTTTTGAGACGTTAGACATACCACGAAATTCAAGACAAATCCATTTCTCTTATATGGTTGTATGCAATAGCATAAAATCTAAAAGTTTTACTTAAATAACTCTTTAATTTTTGCTTTCTTTTTCTTCTTTTCATACGAAACTCTTGAGATCAAAATATCTGATATTTTTGTTGTGTGTATTCATGATAGTGAACAAATATTAGAATCTTAGATATAAAAATAATCAGACTATACATGAAAATGTATAAATTGATATTTAGAGTCAAAAACGAATCTAACAATAAAAATTGTAAGTACATAAGATGAGTCTAATTTTATTAACTATACAATAACAAACAAAAAAATAAATATAAATTAGCGAAAAAACAATTAACAAAATTTTATCTCTAACAATTTTCAAAATAAACCCACGCGTAGCGTGGGAATTCGTCTAGTGATAATAATAAAATAAAGATTTGGAACTAACTAAGAATAAATGAAAAAAAAAAAAAAAAAAAGAATAAATGAACAATGTAAAAGAAAGATGTGAATGTAGAAACTTATTAAAGTTTGGAAGATAAACGTAAATATAAAAAGCAAGATTACTTTTGTAAAAGGATTTGTATGCTAAATAATATAGGTAAAATTGCAAACAGACCCTCAAATTAACCAAAGTATATCTCTCACAGTCTCACCTAAGAAATTTGATATAAAAACATCAAACTACTATAAAAGCCTCAATATGGCTTAACTATAACAATA